GGCAAAGCCTTCTAAACCAGACCTGGTGAATAAGATGAAGAGTGGGCTTGGGTAGTTTAGTTTCAGTGAGGCAAGAATAGCAGGAGTGCGTTTCGAGGTCAAGTCCTTGATTGCCTCTCTTTTGGACGAGTATCCCAAACCTCTTATGTTCCAAGTAAGGATCTTCATGGTTTGGGGGTGAGAGTTGAGGAAAAGGCTAATCTGGCATACCTCCTCAGGGAGGGAGCGGAGGTAGGGGATGGAAGACCTTCTAAAGGACAGCCTTCGTAGGAGATAGAAGACAACAGATTGAGTAACTCCCTTTGTCCTTTAAAAATCACCTTCATTCGGCTCTAAGCGTCTGCAAGAAGGAAACGGTGTACCAGTCCTTCAGGACCTTCATGCTGGAACCCCATAATACGATATATATCCTTCATTCTCTCCAAATCTCTGTCATTCCCATCCCTGTCGATCCCCTCAGCGTTGTCACTCATCGAAGGGGGAGAGATGGGCGTGCTAGGTCCCTCAAGTGACTCCATGTCTGGCTCAGAAGGCTCGAAAGGAGGAAGGGGAAGATGGTTTGTAGGGTAAAGGTCAGGAGGTAAGGTAGGGAGAGGTTCAGAGATAGTAAGGGGAGGCAGAGGGAGGGTCAAGGGAAGAAAAGGAGAGAAGTGGGAGGGCAGAGGGAGGGTGGAGCGAAGGAAGGCAAGACGTGACAATTTGGAGAGGCTCTACGAGAGATGAAGTGAAGTCAGCATACCCTGCGGCAAGGTAGGGGGGTGGGGATGAGGCATAGTTGAGAAGGACTGGGTAATGAAGGAGGAGAGAATACTGACTAAAAGGGTAGTAGGATCCAAAATAGACAGACGGAGAGAGATAAGGAAGTGATATGATTGGGGGGGGGGGCTGCGGGGGCGTAAGGATTATAAGGCCATGGGTAGTGGAGGGCGTATTTAAAGTGTAGGGTTCGGATCCTACAAATGTGGACCAGGTGAGGAGTATATGAGAAATGAGGGAAAAGTAGAGAGGTGATGAAGACAGGATCTGGGGGGGAGGGGTCTGTGAAATGCACAGCAACAATACTGTAGGGGAGTTGGTGTCTGTCCATTGCAGGAGAACGAGAGAGGGGATAAGGAGGTGGGGGGTGTTTAGCAAGAACAGCCTGCGATGCAGGTTGGAGAGGTAGGTAGGTGAGAGAGAGGATGGGAGAGGGGAATAGGGCACATATAGGGGAAGGAAGGCCAGGGCCTGCCAAGGGGGAGAAGAAGAGGAGTTTTGGTCCAGTAGAGCAAACCCCAATACAGTGCCAGTTGGGAAGGGTGTGAAAGCAAAAGGTAGGTGAAGGTTCAGAGGGGGCGGTGAGGTTGCCGAAAGGAGGGAGGAAGGAGGAGCACCCACGGGGAACGAATGAAAATTTGGGGGAGGAGAAAGATAGGGAGTGTGATGGAGTTGGGTAGGATCTCAAGGAGGGGTAGAGTCGACGTGTCATCGTCGGGAGGAGGAGGGAGAAGTGGAGGCGCCTCAGGTGACGACAAGTGAGGAGGGATAGGTAAGGGAGACGACTGGAGAGGGAGCGACGACGATGAGGAATCAACAGATGTGAGTTGACAAGGCAGCGAAGGCAAATGCAATGAAGTCGAGGTGACCCACGGACGAGCCAAGGACGCGGGCTCACTGTCAACAATGGGTTCTTTGTCGGGTCGACGCGGAGGGGTAGAAGCATGGTCAGAAGAAGGTAAAGGTGGGGAGACAATCGCGCCGTGTTTGGGCTTAGGTTTCGTCAGGTGGGGAACACCTTCGGCTTGTAGAGCCGGCTGGGTGACATCATCCCTGTTTCCTGGCAGATCTTGAACGTCACAACATGGCCGCCAGATGACTAACCGTAGTGGTTTGGGTGCCTTGCCCTGGTATCGCACCCTAAGGTTCGGTGTACCAGTGGTGGGTTGTCGGAGGCACCTCCTAAGGTGGCGGTGTTTGCGCGACACAGTGGTCTAGGATTGGGATGTGGAGTCTGTTGGCGGAGGGGGGGTCCACCTGATTGAAGAAGTGGGGAGAAGTTGGCAAAGCCACTGACCACGATAGAGTAACTAGGAGAAAAAGTTTGCCAATTTCAAGCCAGATGCTAGAGTACCTCCAGAAGGAGACGATGGAGCCGAGGGGGAGAGTTTCTACAGATTTCCAATGAATAGAGATTAGGTTACTGCAAGCTTCCGCCATTCTCCTGAAAGTGGAGGGGGACCGCACATGGAGAGGGACGCGGTTCAAGGTGAGCCTGATTCTCTGCTTTCTGAAGGACCCTTGAATAGAGGACCAAGCACGAAGGGTGCAGGAAGCTCCTTAGAAAGTAGAGGATAGAGGCTCCTATCAAACACGCAAAGCGCATTCTGGGGTCGGGAAGTAGAGGAGGAAGTCGCCACCAAAAAGTCGTCTGCAAGTGAGATTGGACTCCCCCCATATGCGTTTGGCAAATCTCTCAATACCTCTGACATCGTCACGTCTAAGTTGGAAGCTTGCCACCAAGCAAGCGGAATTTGTTTGAGCTACGCGGACTCCTCTGAAGGGATTGAGATTATGCAGGGGAGAAAGGGGGAAGAAGCGGTGCTTTGGAGACTCCTCCCGGGAGCAGCTGATGAGACGGAGGGAGCGAAGGTTGTTTTTGTACAAGCAACCACCAGGGAAACGGTAGCCTATAGGGGTAGCTCAGTCGCCGCAAAGAGCTGTTTAGCTTCCCCAGGAGAGGAAAGGGCGACGTTTGGAGATGAGGGCTGAAGTTTAGAAGGCGGTAATTTTAAATGTAATTGAACCGTATTTTTTATGTACTGATGACATGTCACTATAGTCAACTGCAAATACTTGGGGATAAGGCTTTGGTGATAATGATTATGACATATCACTTTCTAAAACAAAAACACTAACTTATTAGCATATGAATAACTTAGACCTTTTGAAACTAATTTCAGAGAACTAATATCCAAATTCTAGTAAAACCCAAGCCCAAACTCCTTTACGAGTCAATGAACTTCTCTACCATAATTACATTCATCAAACTGCTATTGAAGCAAATTAAGAATGCTTCTCGAATAATCCCTAGATCAGTAGTTACCAATTTTTTTTTTTTCATTAGATGAATTATAGGAAATCATTTATGACAAATTATCATCTCCAATCGATATTAACATCATCACACTAATTCAAATGCAGTTTAAGGTGATGAAGCACTTACATGATTACAATAGTATGTTGCCAAAATCGTATAAAACTCAAACCCATGTTTCAAAACTAAAGATATTTCCAATTGTTCTTAACATTGCAATCGAGTATTGTAACAGAAAACTAGAGTGAATGCTATTTCAACTTCCAAAGTACTATAAATTTGACCCAATCTTTCAACGCTAATGATATTTCATATCATACTTCACCTTGTCCAACGACTCAGATTGTCAAAGTACACATGGAAGTATTTTCTCTCTTCTGAAAACTTCCATTGTGTATCCTATCCTACTAGATGTAAACATTATTAATTTTCACAACCATCCTTCCACAATAATTATTATCATCATCATCATCAAAGCCTTTTTCCCAACTATTTGGTTTCATCTACATGATCTTGGTCTACCAAGATTCAAGATTCATGGAATGTTTTGACAAAGTTTTGCTTTGGCCACCTATTTACATAAACCACTTCCTTTACTTGGGCTCAAGACAGGTTAAGGGAAAATTTAAGATCCTCACCCTTCTTAGAAATTTAAGATCCTCACCCTTCCCCAAGAAATATAAGCATAGCAACTCAATTAAAACTTCGACAAAAATGGATTGTATATTATGAGACCATTTACTTTTTAGTACAAGGGGGTCACCGATTTTACCCATTAAATGTTAAATCCAAAAATAAAAGTGTGTCACAATACTTGAGAAATTTTATTTTTGGCTTTGTACCCAAAAAATGACACATCCTTAACTACCTGATTTTAAAACTATTAGTTAGTTATGATTGTGACCTCCTTGTACTAAAAGTAAATGGTCTCATTGCATACATTTCCAAGCAAACAATATTGCTTCGAGCTGAAAGACAAAGCTAAAGCCAAATAGTTTCCTACATTTGTAAATACCATAGCAACTAGGGAAGGAATGGGTCAAGTAGGCTTAGGGTCAACCTTGACCCAACTAGGTATAACTTACTTAGACCAAGAGCCTGATTAGCTCCAAGTCAATTGAACCAGCACTGTGGTTCAAGTACTTAGACCAATATACTCCTAAGAATGGGATTGCAACCTAAACACCCATGCTCAAGTCAGTCAAGTACATAGAGACTTCAGTTAGTCAAGTACATAGAGACATGATCAAGTACAAGCCTACTTAAATGAGTACGAAGAGACTTAGCACACACACCCACATTTGAAAATGATGACCACCACTGCATTGAACACTACAAAAAATTCTTACAAGGATGCATTAGGCGCATGACTAAAGAAAAATAAACACCAAGAACAAAATGTACAATCAAGACACTGCATTGAACAAAATCTAATAAGAGAAGCTCAACATGCATGCAACATTGATAATGGAGATATACGCTCACATACTTAAAAGTATAATTATGTCTAACATAGACACCATAGAAGCCAGTTTTAAAACTACGATAACCAGGAAAGATTAAAACTAAGATGACTAGGAAAATATTGTTTACATTCCACTAGTTAGTTCATCCCCAACTACATACTAACTACTGCTGATAACCTCGACGTACAAATTTTGCTAAAACCATGACAGATACCGTCTCGCACTATTTACCCGCCATCAACTAACAAGGATTTTGAATTATAAAAGACAGATACTTATAGAACCATGCTCTTTTACATCAAAGTTCATCATATATTAGGGATTCACATCAAAAATAGTAAATATTTCTAAATGATGAAATTCATTCTATGTCGTGCATCAAATTCTATAGGCATTGAGTTACACTTCTTGATATACTTTTATGATCAAAGTTTAATATGCTCTTTTCAATGTTATTGCAGCCCTTCCTAAACATCCCTCCACAGAGACGACCGGCGGTGCATAAGACAAAGAAAGATGAGAACGAGTAGGTGAATTCTGTGAAATGCAGACTGATGTCCTCTTTTTTGACTTCTACATTACGCACTTTTTTGTCTTTCTACATTTTCATTCCTCCTTTATTACACAAAAGAGAAGACCTCACTCTCTCTCTCTC